TCCTCTCTCCTCTGCGTGTCCCACTTGTGCGGGTTTCTGTCTCTCTTCAGTATTTGTGTTTGTACTTGGAGATCTGTAGTTGTATCTGCTTTGTATGTGCATTTGCGTTTTAGTTGTATTTGTACTTGCCACTACTTTTGTTTGCGTTTAGGTCTGATGCGTGCGGTGTCTGCTCCATCAATGAACTTCCTGGACGATCCGTCTCCTACTTCCGTCACATCTTCAGGTGGCGATTCCTCTCCTTTTTCCGCCTCTCGCATTTCTCTCTTGTCTCCTTCTGTCAGCTGCAGCAGCTTGCAGCATGCGAGGAAAGCCCCGTCGGATCCGGCTGTGCAGACAAGCTGGCTGTCTTTCAAGCCGCAGGACAGCGCAAGGGGACTGCAGGAGACTGTGGCTAGGGCTGCGTCGGATCCTCCGCTGCTGCAGCACTTCCGGCAGACGCATTCGGCTCCAGCAGCAGCGGCGGCAACAGCAACGGGCAGACGAGGGAGCGTCTCCTGCTGCAGCTGCTGCAGCGCGTGGAGGTGCCCCTTCGGATGTGCTGCTTTCCCCAAACAGCAGAAGGAACAGAACAAACTGAGAATATGCTGGGGTAGGGCTCCTCTTGTTGCAGGAGATGAGCTGCTACTGCCACAACAGCGGCAGGATCAGCAGCAGCAGCAGAAACGGGCGAGGGCGCCGGGTTCTGAGGGAGGGGTGGGGGGCTCGGTCGTGCCTGCCGAACAAGAAGAGGGTCTGCTGAGAAGTGTGGAGACAGGCAAAGACAGAAATAAACAAGCAAACGAGACAAACAGTGGAGAAATATGTGAAGACCCAAACGGAGACAAGAAGTGCTGCGTGCTGCAGGCGTTCGGTGTACGCGCGTTGCGGTGTGTCTCCTGTGAGGGGGAAGAGGCTTTGAACTTTTTATCAGAATGCAGCAGCGACTGGCGGGGCCTGCCGGCATGCAGCGCGGAGCAGTTGCAGCCTCATGTGCGGCTGACATGCCCTATTTCAGGTCTACTGGGGCTGGAGAGTTGTGTAGCAGCAACAAATGCTGCCGCTGCCGCAGCAGCAGCAGCAGCAGGGGTGGCCAAGGCGGTACACCGCGAAGCAGCAGCGCATCTCCAGGGACCGCAGCAAGGCCCTCCCTTGGAAAACGTGCCGCATTTTCATCTCCCAGGCGTTACGTTGCCTGCTTCAACTGTCTGCAGCAGCAGCAGGAGTCGCTGTTACTGCAGCACCAGTGGTCCTGAGTTTAACAAAAGAGAAGAAGCCACTGACGCCACAGTCATTCCTGCTTGTTGCCGGTACAACTTGACCAGCAAGAGCAGCAGCAGCAGCAGTAGGAGTTGCTGCATAGCGGTGGCTGACTGGCTGATGGTAGAGTTGTTTGAAGCCCGCGTTTTACTGCTGCTATTGGCAGCTGCGTGGCTCGAGTTTGCTTCGCTGAGTCCGCTGCAAAAGGCGCTGCGCTCCGTAGTTGCGAAACTAATGGAGAACGACGAACTCTTCAGACCCGTCAGGGATGTCTTGTGGGTCCTCGACCCCCAACAGTCAGGACATGTTTCTTGTGAGTTTCTATTGAGTTAACATAAGTAAATACGGTATCGTTTACCAATACATCTTTCAACAAACAAGTACCAATTAATGCATTGAGGGAGCAGCTAGTAAATAAAAGGACGTGCGTAATCTTTGTCGTGAATTTTTAGTGTGCTGCTTTCATTAAGTGAAATGATGCAGCCGAATGCTTAAATGGATATATAACCAGATGATTATGGCAGTGGGAGCACAGACCAGGATGCAGCAGTGCGTTGGGGCCTTTAGCAGACCGGGTTTGCATTTCGTTTGTGCGGCTTTGGGGAAACAGCTTCATGCTGCATTTTGTGTTTCTGCTGCGGCTGCTTAGGGCAGTGTTTGCTCGATAGTCTGAAGGTCGTTCGCGATTTCTTTCGGTTGGAGGCCTTTCTTAGAGATGGAGACACAACGAACAGTGACACCACAGACCCAGCACACAACTTTCCACCGCTGCATCCTAGCGGCAACCATTTGTGTTGGAGCAGGAAAACCGAAATCAGCAGCCACAATAGCAGCAACAGCAGCAGCTGCCGCTGGAGGAGCAGCAATTTGCCGGCGTCTCCTCTGCAGACGATTTTGGCGTTCGCCGGTTTGTCTGCGGGGGAGGGGCCGCAGCTGTCGGACTTGCTGCCGTTCTGTGACGTTCTGGACAACGCCTTCAAGGAACGGGCTGGTGCAGCATTGAGTGACGGCGCGAACTCCAACTCTTCCTCGGCAGAGACGCAGTCATCCGTCGGATGTCATCGATCAGGAGACGAAGCCCACGGGGACGCCGAAGGACAGAAACGGGCAGGGGCAGCAGCAGCAACTGCAGCAGAACCCTCTGCATCAGAAAGCACAGAGAGCCCGTCTTGTTTGATGGAAGAGGCTTTGGTGTGTCTCGACACCGATGGGAGCGGGGCCGTTGAATTCGACGAATTTTTGGCCGCATCGATGACCCGCCCTGATTTTCTCGAAAGAACCCCAACGTGCAGGTACTTTACTTGTTTGCAGTTTTACGCAGCGGAGCCAAATGCATTTTACATCATTTTCTCATAGGGATAAGTATTCTCAGGTTGCCGTTCAGTTGATAGTCTACCTGCATGTCGTCAAAGGGCACATTTGCTATCGCCTGATTGTAAAAATTATTAATCATGAGGCTTCTTCTGATGCCAGGCTTCGTAGATTGCAATCGATGCACCCTCGTGTCTTGGCATTTTTTACGAAGGCAGGCAGACACACTTTTCTCTCGTCTCAGCGATATGTACACGTTCAGGCCCCTCTGCGGCGCCAGCTTCCCTCAGTACCTTCACTTTCTGTTGTTTGATTTGTTTGCTTATTTCTTCTTTCATTCCATCTGGTCTTATTTTCTGGATACTTCGTTTCCTTCGTTTGTTGCACTTTTTGTCACCCTTTCTGTGTGGTTACTGCTCCGTGCCAGCCGTTCCCTTTCACCCGTTTTAATCCCGCTGCCGTTTTTCTTGCTTTTTTGCGTTGAACCACAGCGTGGCATTTCGGTTGTTGGATCGCAACGTGGACGGTTTTGTATCGGCGAATGACTTGTTGACGATTTTGCATTTTGATGCGAAGTCGGACTTGAAGCGTGTTTTTGAGGCCCAGAAGAAGCGGGCAGACGTAGCAGTTGCATCTCTTTTGAGTGCTACTGCTGCTGCTGCTGCTGCTGGGGCGCCTCCTCCGCCTGGGACTGTGCTGGATGAAACGGAGTTGGTTTCGGGAGTTGATGAACACGGAAATACTTTTGAAGTCCCCGCAGGTGCGGCCTATATACTGCAGCTCGAAGGTGTCAGTGCAGCCACTGCTCCGGTGTACGTACAGGTCGTCCGCGAGCTCAAGGCGACGCAGCCAAATGCAAACGGCTTATGGACTTTCGAGGACTTCATGAACCTGCTCTAGGTACGTGTATACATTGTTTGCATTGTTTTTAATGCATATAAATATATACATGCATGCGCGGATGAATTCGCTTGTACATGCTTTGTTTCGTTTCCAATTTTTTTCTACCCTCTACATGCAGCCGCCCCCTCTGCACTTGGCTTGCAAGGCACTCGACCAGATCAGTAAAAGGGGACAACCGCAAAAGCTTCAAAGTCATGAATTGCACGTGTATATATGTGTACATACCTAATGTTTATACATTTAAATATATATATATGCATTTGCAAATATGTGTTGTTTACATGCTTATTTGCATTTAACGGCTGAAACATCCGTTCGGTTGTGTGCAAACGAACTGGGTGAAGTAAACTGCCTGCCCTGCAGACAGATGGACAGCGTTTTCTGTTCTTCCCCTGAGCGCTGCTCAGGCGTTTTAATATTGTTGGTATTCCTGCGTTAACTCCGAATTACGTTGAGGTCTCCGTTGCTTCTGCACTATGTTCTTCGGCGATAACGTTTATTACTTACTCTCGTGTGAGGTATTTGTTTTCATCTGAGTTCTTCAGAACGCGTTCCGCTCGAGTCTGTTAATGCAGTCCCGAGTATCTGTCGTATGCGATATAATGCGTGCATTTATGCATGCAGTCAACTCTCCTGCACCTGCTTAAGGGCGGGAAAATGCTAGCCGTGCGCAGAACAAGCAGAGCAGAATATCACTCGTTCATGCGGCACCTGTGCCTACTGCTGAGATGTAGGCAGTACCAAGCTACGGCATATTCATTTCTTAAACCCGTTCTCTACACGCCTAAGGGAATGCTAAACTCATGGCTCATGTGGACCCGTTCACGCCTCCATCTTGGCAGACCCGAGTATCTATGTATGCGTAGTCGTTACGGAAGAGCCCCACGCGTGACAACGAAACTTAAATGCACGCGTGCATGCGTTTGTGCCTGCATGCATGCAGGGTAGGGATGAGTTTTCGCTGGGCGTCAGGAAGTCAATTGCTCTCCAATGCGTGCAGTGCTGGCGCCTTTGACCACGTGGTTGCTTCCTGGCATGCTGCCCGTTTGTACTGTGAGTTAAACGTTCCGTGGCATCATTTCACAGATTCGCCTTTATCTTACCCAAGACAGATGTTGCCTCTTCTGCAGTTATCATCGATTTGGCACTCTGTGGCTGCGAGAAAAGACCATCGCCTGCATGACGAGGCAAAACGTGAAAATGCAGATGATGAACAATTTGGCCCGCAGCCGCGCCTCCGTTGTGGAGGACGTTCACGCCGTCGCAGTTTGTTGCCTGAAGAGCACAAAAGCGCAAATCCAAACTGAAATGAAGTGCATGAACTGAAAAAAAGGAGACGATGGTGCGGGTGTGCGGTTGAAACAAATGCATACTGTTGCCGTTGTGTGTGTATGCACACCTGCTGCACTGCCCTGCAAAGGCGAGGCAACTCTTTCAGAACGTCCGCCGCCTGCTGTTCACTAAGCTCCATTACCGTCTCCACTGGTGCCTTTGATATCAACAGGGAATGCCCAGGAGCTGTCGGGAATGCATCCAAAATAGCCACACAGTGTTCAGTTTCAAATATCTGGTTAGAATCGCCACAAATACAAACAACAGCACAGCGTACCTTGATTAACGGTGCGCATTTATTGTATACTGCTCATGGTAACGAAACATTAATTTGATGCTTGCACTCAAATACGCCGTTCAAGACTTATCGGACCTAAACAGGCACGGATTTACACAGAGCTTATCTACATGGAAATACAAACTTCAGAGATGCATGCACAAATGTACGCGTGCTAATGTATGCTCCACCAATGCTCTGGCAGTCTAGAAAATCTTGCAAATATGCTGCTTGTGCACAGGTGTACCGGCAGGTAGTAGGACTTATGTAGTCACACAGAAGCCGTGTGCAAACAGAGATACTAATATGTGAATAATTGTTATAAATCGTGTACTTTAATGGAACGTGGCAATAAAGATTCACGCATTCCTAGGAAGGAACAAGAAACCCCAACAGTCTGCTTGTCGTAAGCGCCGCCACAGGGCTCTGGCGGGTCCGGCCGCTGCAGCTTCCAAAGGAATTCCGCTTATATTTGCGTGTACTAACAGTGCTAAAAGCCTCGCAAAGATCGGGGATGTCAGCAACCGCATCTGCCCATTGTTAGGTTTGTACCGAACAGAATACCATGACTTCAGGCCGGCAAGTTGGCTGTAAAAGACACGACTATATAATATGTGCTACCCACGGACCTTGTAGGAGGGAAGACGGCCATCAAGGATCTTGGCAAAGACATTGTCTGGGTCGTAGGAAGTACGTTGAGGCGTCATTTTCGGTATTCGGTGTTCGCTGCAACTGGAAGAAGGAGCGAAGGGGTCGTAGCGGCCAGCAGTCAACGCAGTAAAGAAGCGTCTTTGAGGGAGCTGAAACTTCAAAGAATATATATATGCGCTACAGGCAGGCAGGAAATAACTCAACAGCTGCATTTTGAAAGAAACTGTACGGAAGATGTGCTGGCGCCACTGCCGCAGAGCGAAATGCTCATCGTGGGGCTGAGATCGACCCTAGGGGGCTGACTTGCAACCGCAAGTGCTAACAATCGAAGAAACAAACTCAAATTGAGGTAAATGAATTTACTGCGTGGATCTACTCACAGCTGCCATGCAAGCTGCCCAGACAACGCACCGTGGCACGAAGTGGGTCTGGGCATACGCGCAAATCACCTTCGCGGCAGAACACCTGTAGAAATGCCGTTTTTATTTTGTTGTGACAAGTGATTTTAACGATTGAATGGAATGGCCGCAATGCACAGAATGGCACACTCCCGATTATTGGATATCTGTCTCGGCAGAACTAGCAGAAGTTCAGCCTTTCTTTTCAACAGATGCACACAATCTTCTGTCGTTCTGTCGCAGCGCAGAAGTTAGAGATAGCAGCCAGCTGAACTCCACAAGAGGTAATTCGTAACGCAGTCCCTCTCTTCGTCCGAGCCCTACAGTATCGGATTTCTTGGGCAACTTTACCAGCGACCGTGTATTTGTCGTCCCGTATGTTCAAAGATGAATAGCTACCTGCTCCATGAATCGGCTACTGCTGCTCTTCGGAGGCGGCTGAGTTGCATGCATGCAAATCAGCTGCATCGGGCGCAAAAGGCGTTATCCCTCTACGGCCACGACTGCACGCCTGGCGTATGCGCACCTAAGGTACGGTGTGCGGGCTTCTTGCAACGCCGTGTGGAAAAGTTGACTGTCAATCATCTAGCAGCAGTTACTAGAGCCTCTCGTTATTTCTACTCGCGGGCTGCTACTGCCGCTGCTGTCCGTTGCGGCAGCAGCAACAAAGCCAGCAGCAGCAGAGCAGAAAATGGGGACGCTTTATCTGCTGTTACGCCCCCGTCTTTTCCTTCGGTACGGGTGACTGACAGCAGTAGCCATTGGCTGCCGTCCCTAGCGAGGGCGACAATACGACAGGACATTTCATTCTGCCGCCTCTCCGATGCTGCTAAGGGTAACTGCAGCTCAGCAGATGTACAGACAGTAAAACAGAAGGCACTCGCCACTGTCAGAAGAGAAGGGTGGTCTGTCCCAGGAGTTGCGGTGGTGCTCTTCTCGGCACAGTAAGAACAGGAATACTTTGGTTCCCACGTCGGCGTGCGCTTTTTGTGTGTACACGAGCTACTTACAGATATGAATCCTTTGTCAAGCTGTCACATGGTGCCTGCCAGTTACCTCTTGTGCAACCCTAGCAACCATTTGCTTCATTCTTGCTCTTTGTGCTTGTATGTTTGACTAAAGGTTGCATTTTTGTGCTGATTGCCGCTCCGGGTTTCTTTCTGTCTCTGTTTCTGCCTACAGGTGGAGTGAGCCCTCTCGCGTACTGCAGCAGTGGCTGTCTGTTCGCCTATCTGCTCTCTTGCCCTTTAGGAATTCCGAAGACAAAGGAGAAAACGTCGTTGAGTTTGTAGCTGTCGGAAGCGAAGAAGCACCTGTCATGCTGAGGGTTTTTGGTGTCGCTTCGCTGCCCCATTGCCTGCTGATGGCCAACGGCCACGTTGTTTGCGGTGAGGCAGCCTTTGAATGAATTGACGCTTGTGATATTGGAAGCAATTACTGATCGTCCTTCCCAGATAAGCGAAGCGGCATAACCCATGTAGTGACCGTTTGTAAATAGTGCGCACGATGGCTCGTATGTACACCCTTTAGGAAAACCGGGACGACGCATTTAGGGAGGAGGTACTTTTTTACCTTTGAACTTGAGCATACAGACCCATTAACACCCTCTTTGCTGGAGAACCTGCGAAGAGGGGCTGCTGTAAAGAAAGTGATGCTTTTCCCTTGCTGCAGAACTGCCTGCTGGGGCCTCTTCTGCGCGTCACGAGGCGTTTATAGCGGCGGTTTCGGCGGCTGCCTCGACGGCTCCTCAACACATGGAACAAGCCGTACGCAGTTCGACAGAAGCAGCGGAAGCAGCAGCAGTAGGGTTTGACTGCCCGTTACGCAGTTACTCAGTTTAGGTCCCCGCCTCTTCACTGTTACTTGCTGTGGCGACGAAGACCCATCGACCGTACCCTCAGGTTGACGTTCGCTTTTCTGTTATCATTGATTTGCTAGTCTTTACTATTAGACTGCACTCGCTTCCTGGTCTGTTCACTTGTGATATGCCTGCGTTGCACAGCAGCTGTCTCCTCGAATGCGACTGCTGGATCGACGTGAGTGAGAGAAAGCATTGACGGCTGGGGACCGTCACTGAGGGCGTTTCTTCTGCTTTGTAGTATCGCCTGGGTTGTTACCGCTACAAAACGTTATATGCATTTGCATGCTTGTGAAGTTCTCTCACAGCTTTCTTGGGGCTTGCTGCATCTGGTCTGCTGCTGCTCGTGCTGTTGCTTCCGGTGTTTTGTCATCGTATACACTTGGTGGTGTTCCATCTTTGTGGACAGTGCTTTTTGCGGTTCGAAGGCGAAGCCCGAGGGATCTAAATGAAATCGAGGTATGCTGTACTGTCATCCGTCGCCAATTGCCTCTTAGCCCATCACTACGCAGCCTAAGGCCCTCCCGTGTGTGTAGCCCGTCAAGGTGCATCTGTGCTTGGCCAATTCTTGTGAGTTTCTCAACAGGGTGCTTGTGCACCCGTTCTGTCGCAGACACTGCTGCATAAGCTGAAGGAGGATCTGCTTGTCTCCGCCGACACCAGCGAGCACAACAAACAGTCTCCTCCACCCCGTAGAACCTTTGGCATGAAGAACTTAAGGGGGAATTCAGCCCTTCAGCCCTCTTTGGGGTCAGATAGCAACGACAGACATCAGGCAGCCACTCATGCTGGCTACTTGCTCGACTCAGATGAACGCGCATCCCAGCTGACCGCCCTTGCCACAGTTGCACTCTTCGACGTCCCTGAAGTTCACACGCCCGTGGGTATACATGCAGCACTAGCGTATTTAGCCCGTGAGTGCTCGTAAGGAGTGACCTGGGAGACAAGAGAAGGCGGCATCTGTTTAATAGCGGGACCAGTCTTTCGTGTGACGCTTTGAAATGCACACTCAGGATCTCCAGGGTTTGCACGAGTTGCTTTCCTGGGCTATGCAGAAGAGGAGGGGCTCAGCAAAAAGGTCGGGGGAAGCGCCACCTGTGCGTGCTGGCTTGCGGGGGACTCTTGAGAAAATCATTCAACGGGAAGAGCCCCAGTGGGCCCCCGACGACTGCCCCATTATTCGCTGTTTACCCCTGTACAACCAATGCCGTACGTGAGAAGCGAGAGGAGACATTTTATGGGAGTTTTCCAGCGTTCCTGCTTTTCTGGGGTTTCTTTATTTTACATGCGATGTGCTTGTTTGGTCCTAACTGAAACTCGTGCTTCGTGAAAGGCGATCTTTAATACACTCTGACGCTGCTGCCGTTGCACGCGCATGAAAGTTTGTGTGCAGGGGGTTTACTTTTTCAAATAGTGTTGTTTTTATGCTTTTCGCATGGGCTTGGGTTCGTTTCAGTTCTAAACAAGAGCTTGTTTGCCAAAGCGCAGGGAGCGCAGCCACTCCGGCTGCCGCAGAACCCATCAGCAACTCCAACAATCGCAACAGACGCAGGAGCAGAAACACCAAGAACAACAACAGCAGAAGCAATTAATGCGTCGCTTTCCGAGGAGTGTTTGAAGGTCGAGTTGTGGAGGCTAGCCGAATGGCTGGCGAGAACCAGTCGTTGCTTGTCTGCCCGTCTGTTCTTGGATACGGCCGAGGCTTCCGGTTTGGAACTGGCGATGACGAGCCACGTTGATTGGCTGAAGGACGCAGCGCAGTGTAATTACATGCAAGTTAATGCCATGGGGTGCAAGGAGAAGACAGCAAGGGTAAGCACACGTTCGGCAGCTTCGCAGGACAAGCTGCAGCAGCCCAGGGCACTGCATGACAAAAAAGGAACCGAAGTGCGAGGGGTCCATCCTTTCAATGCTTGGTTTGAGCCACGAAGTCCCAGCCCCGGGCGCACTCTACTCGCTTGTATGTACGCCGCTTTAGGTAAGTAGTAGTCGCGTAGTGCGTCCTTTCCACGCTAAGCACGCCAAAGCGTTCGGCGGCAGCTAAAGAGGCTCGTGCTTGCATCTGCATTCGCTGTTTGGAGTTAGTGCTCCGTCGAAACGAGGGGAAACTGCGGTAACTTCGAAACGGGAAAGATATTGAGGTCTGCATTGCGCTTCCTCAAGGGCCTGATGATCGAAAGGTGCAGCATACGATTGCCCGCTTCGACGTGGCGGTGAGTGCAGATCGTCTGCTTGGGTTACGATATCCCAGTCGCTCTGACCGTAAAAGCAAACGGTCCACTTCTCGACACCGCTTCTGCCAGTCTCCAGCTTCGTCGATGCCTTGTGGATCTAGTGATATCAAGTGCTCGCTAGTCTGTCATGTTGTGCATCAATACATTTGTGTACTACAATATGTTGTACATGCATATGCGTATAAATAATATTTCTGTGATATATATATATATATATATATACATATGTATGTATATGCATTTAACAAAAGTGTATCTGCATGCAATGAATTGTGCGTGGCTGATTGTTGTCTGGTTCGGCCGTTCAGGTGAATGCCCACCAGTTCTATCCAAGGAAGTTCCCCCACACCAAAGCTCGACGCGGAGGAAAGCCACGCATGGTAAGAAGCGATTCATGGATGCTAAGACGAACGTTATTCCCGACGCCCCTTGCTTTATTTACCTGTAGTTTGCACTTTTCGGTGCAGATACTGTTTTTCTGCTTATTGGGTGCAACTCGTCGGCTTATTTTTTCCTCCTCTTTTGGCTTGCAGATGCGCGGAATGTCAGGGCGCTGGTTCTGGTTGGGGCCATACTGGAAACCACCCTGGGCACCGAGGCGAAAATCCCTTACGGAAGACTGGCATCTAACAAATGTTGCGGCATAATATTTGGCTAGGATGAACTTCCGTCAGTATGAGCTAGGATGGCATCAGACCAACCCGCATCCACTGTAGTAACTCCACTCTCTCAACTTATATTGATACGGAGAGGCTACTCTGTGCTGTTCACAGAAGCCCCAGCCAGCTGCCGTCGACTCCCGAAGCGCAAACGCCTTCCAGTACTTCGGGTGCAGATAAAACTAATTGAAACTCGATACTCAAACGGCTTTACATAGGGGGAAAATTGATGCAGGAAGGGTATAAACCGGTTGGAATGCTGCTTATAGAATTCGAGCACATGTGAAGCGAAGGCGAAGCATTCTCACAAAGCAGTTCTACGCCCGCCTCCGCAGGATTTCCGCAACAGAGAGAGTATAATAAAGTTTTTGTTTTGCTAGGAACAAGGCGCAGCGGCAGGCAACTGCTGTTGCTGGCGGTGATGCTGCCTCTTCCCGATGAAGGCGTAGGAATAATGGACGTCTTCAGACTACGCATACTCCTCATGTGTTAAATTCCCTAACAATTTTCACATAGCAATAAAATATATGCCTCTATCCGCTTCCACTGCCTTCCGTCCATGCATTCCTCCCCATCTCAGTCCTGAAGGGTCACCCTTATTTTCGCTCGCGGGAGCTGTAGCGCAGTCGCTGTTCGTTTCAGAGCTAAGTTTCACTTCACACGTTGATACCCCTTCGATTCAAGATGTCCAAGCTCCTTACTATGAGTACAAATCGTCATCGTCGCCTTCGTCCACTCGCCCCTGCACAAAAGGGTGTTCGCATGCATACACAAAGTGAAATACTCAAAGGAGAAAATGTACTTTGATGCAGACCGCAAGGAGCAGGCTTAAACCCAGTCTAGTGCACACTGCTCGCTGGGCAGCGGGGGATAGCTTCACGCTTTATCAATCGCAAACGTGGAACTATCTGCGTAAATATACGCACACGAGCTCATACTGCACGGGCCAACAGTTAGAGATGCAACGGACGCAAACGTGCGTACAACCACTTTTGAAGGAGCGAACCCATGCCACCGTTCTGTCTAGAGATACAGACATGCGCTCGCTTCTTCCAACGTCCGCTGTACAGGCACGCAATATCAAGAAATGTAATGTCCACCCCTCCTTAAATTCGGAGAAGTATACCTAAGGAATCCCAGTTAAGTAAAAAACTAAATAATGTACAAGAGTGTATGCACATGTCACTGGGCAAACCCCTCACCACGTCCGTCGCTGCGCCGTCTGTGTTGGGCCAATCAACAATGATAGTTCCGTCACCCCCTGCCGCCTGGCTCTTGTAGATAGGGTCGAACTTCATTCTGAAAGAGTCGTATTTGGACAAGTCGGTCTGCGAAACACTTCGCCGCGCTCCTGCATACCCAAGCATACACCTTGTCTAGTAAACTAACAATTCAAGCCATCCCCGAGCATCTCAACAGCACCAGTACAACCTCACACCACCCGAATACTGCTGCGACACGATGAATCCGGAGATTCCAGCTTTCGTCCCTAACGTTCCCTCGTTCATCCCCTCATTCTCCCATCTCCAGTGAGCATCAAATGAAACCTTCACCCCTTGAATGCCGGAACAGTATACTCGTCGTTACCGCTTCGTCTGTTGCTCTTCCATCTCTCACCAGCGAGGCCTTCTTCAAAGTGTTTGCGTGTGATTTCATACTTCACATTCGACTCATCCTCATCCATGCCTTCAGTGCCCGCAGCCCGGGCGAGTTCCTCGGCGGCAATTGCCTGCAGAAACAAGCACATGCGCCGATCCTCCTTTGGGTCATTCTACTGTACAAAAATGCCTAGAGCACACACCCTCCAGGCCCTCTGGCTAGGAAAATAATCGTCCCTAAACGCTGGCACTTCTCGATGACAGCCGTACGTCACGAATGGCAGCCTTTGCAGCTCGTTGACACATCTCTGCGATGTCCGCCCCTGAAAAGCCCGCCGTCTTATTTGCCAGGAAAGGTATGGGCACGTTGGCAGCAACAGGCGCTTTCCTCAAGGTCGCCTGCAGCAAACAGGCACGATGACGGGTTTAATCCCCCTTCTTGAGTCCGTTTCTTACGACGGACTAAACATTAAAAATAATTGCACCTTTCTGATCATCAAATAAAACTCACTTGCAAAATGCTAACACGCGCAGGTAGATCTGGCAGGGGAATGTAGATCAGCTGGTCGAGACGTCCCGGCCTAAGGAGTGCCTCGTCCAGCAGTTCAGGTCGATTAGTTGCCCCCACAAAGAAGAGGTTCTTCATAGGGCCCACCCCATCTATTTCCGTCAGCAGTTGATTCATAACTCTATCACCTGTGCACACGCAAAATTCCCTCTCCGTTCTCCCCGTAAAACTGCGGTTGTCCACCCAAAGCCCGCATTCACCTCAGAATGTATCAACTAAATATTCCTAGCTACTTGGATTCCACCCTACTTACCGGCGCCACCCGCATCACCCAAGTTGTTCCCACGCTGCGTGCCAATCGAGTCGAGCTCGTCGAAGAACAGAACACAAGGGCTCGCAGCTCTCGCCTGGACACACCAAATTTCTCATCCAAAGACGCATTTGCCTTGGTAATTATAAAACAAGCTAACAGCCTTAAGCCTTTCATGGCCCCCCTCATGCAGAGACGCGCACAGAAGCAAGAGCTGAACAACTAATCCACGAACTTGCCTTGTCAAACACCTCTCTGACGTTGGCCTCGGATTCACCAAACCACATCGTCAGCAACTCGGGACCCTTGATGGAAATAAAGTTTGCAGAGCATTCAGAGGCAACCGCCTTCGCCAACAGAGTTTTACCACACCCTGACGTAAAGGCAAAATACACAAGCCAACAGGGACTCCCTTTGAAGATGCGCTGATGACAGCATCAGTTCCCAAGTATTCCCCCACGCCAAGCACACACGAGTGCCTGCTCAAACATACGTGTACGCCACAAGGTGCAGCGCTGGCACAAGCACAACCATGCACTGTCTCCATTCACGCGGCAGCCATTTGCCTCCACGCGCAAATGTTTACACGCCATTAACCAATCAACATAAAAACCGATGCATCAAGAAGCAGATACAAGCAGTATTTGCACAATAAAGTGCATGAACATAGTGTACAAGCACATGCCAGCTGCGCCCCCGCCCAGATGCTGCTCGGCTCTCAGACATACCCGGAGGTCCATAGAAGAGCACACCGCGACTTGGGCTCATACCAAACTTCTCAAACTTCTCAGGATGATCTATTGGATAAAGAATCATTTCTTGCAAATTTCTCTTGACCTCCTCCAGACCACCTGCAAGGCGACGAGCAAGGGCCAGCACACGCTTGACAGGCAGTAGCATGCCTTCCAACCCAACTCTAAGCCCAAGAACCTATACAATATACCCACAACCCTTAAATTACGCATTTAAATCCTCACCAATGTCATCCCACTTAACGTTGGGCACCTCCACGACCGTTTCTCTCAGCGACGACGGGTTGCAACTCTGTAGCGCCGAAGAGAAGTGTTCTTGAGTGACCGCCATGGAGCTCAGCACCTGCACAGGATAAAATGGAAACGCAACTCCAGAAACCGCTGATCGAGCTGCGCATCAATAACTCTTTCACAACGAATCAATCCCCAAACGCATTACGACTGCATGGTAACCTTTTATGACAAGGTCCACTACACAGACAGCGCAGCCACATAGTAGAGCTGGGACGAACTCGCTACCTGAGCATCTATGGTGTCATCTTCCAGGTCAATCAAGTCCATCTTCTCTCGAATGCACGACAGAGCTGCTTCAGTGCAAAGCTGCGCCAGGTCGGCTCCCTGCGGGCAGCCACAGAATGTTAAAAGCGGAGGGAGATGAATGGAACAAGGCAAGGCAAACAACAAACAGAAGAAGAACGGCATTCACGAAGTGTATCCTGGCGCGTATGAGGCTAGCCGCCAGCCGCCTTCTCAAGGCGTTTACGAAGCGTATCCTGGAGCATATGCGGCTAGCCGCTACGCACCACAAAACCGTGAGTGCTCGAGGCGAGCTCTTCCAGGCGGACGTCCGGGCCCAGTTTCATGTTGCGAGTATGAATGCGGAGGATTTCGAGTCGTCCGTTGTCATCTGGCACGCCAATGTCAATCTCACGATCGAACCGACCGAAACGCCGCAACGCCGGGTCAATGGAATTCTGGCGGTTCGTGGCTCCTGCGGAATCGGACCAGAAGCAGCAAGCTCTCAGCAGCAATAAGCTGCCTCAAACTGGTACCAAGATACCTTGAGTCAAATGGACTGCGCCCAAGCCTTAGGCCCCGCACTCCCTGTGCTGTTGTCAGCCGGTGAGCACGCGAGTTCTGCCTGTCATTGGGACCACCCAAACAGAAGCGAAGCGCCTCAGAGGCCCGCAACTGCTAACAAATTGCCATATGTGTGGGGCATGTACCGATCACAACCACTTGGCCCCTGCCTTTCAGGCCGTCCATCAGCGTCAGCAGCTGCGAGACCACTCTCCGCTCCACCTCTCCGTTCGTCTTCTCTCTCTTTGGTGCGATAGAGTCAATTTCGTCGATGAAGATAATTGCAGGAGCGTTCTTCTCAGCCTCTTCAAATGCTCGACGCAAATTGGCCTCCGCTTCCCCTGAATCCGCGCGGCCCGCACAAGCCCCTTCGCACTTACAACAAGCCCTTCCCTATGCACTGGCTCGAGCTTTTTTCGTTGCCCAAAACATCAAATAAGCCAACGAGCCACGCATCTAATACGGTTGCCTCAACGCCTAAACTCGCCTGCACCCCTTCACCGTACAGTCGATGGGCGCCTACAACCGCCGCCCACTACTGAGTGCACAACCAACACCCGTGAGGTGTTCACGCGCAACTTCACGCACAACTGCAGACCCACCTGCCATCTTGCTCATGACCTCTGGTCCATTAATCAGGAAAAAGAATGCTCCAGTTTCGTTTGCCACGGCCTTTGCGATGAGAGTTTTCCCGCTGCCTGAGACACAAAACTCAAGTCCTTACTCGCGACAAGTCGTCCACTGCTGACCATTCGCCGGCGTCTGCACAGAACGTCTGCAACATCTGCACAGAGGCTTCACGGCCTGGGCAGGAACTACTCTTCATTACAGCTGCAGCTGGGAGCACATGCCCTGTTGTCCACCCACCTGGAGGGCCATACAGCAGTACGCCACGTGGCGGCTTAACGCCCAGGGTCTTGAAAAGAGTTGGGTGGCGCAGCGGCAGTTCAATCATCTCGCGGATCTGCGCCATTTGCTTGCGGCATCCTCCTGAAACAAAAGCAACAAGCACCAGAAGATGCACATAGAACTTGCGACGCCCTCAAAAAGACTGAAGGCGAGCAAAGAGCGAATTCCCTCGTGCCCCTCCCAACCTGAAAAGCATTTACCCAGCCATCTAGGGGCATCGCAGCAAGTTCGCTTCGCTCTCTACCACACGCTTTTCAAATCTGGAAAGCACCCTTCAGAACCGAACGGTGGCCAAACTTAGGGGAATGCGTCGTGATAATAGAAAAACCCACCGATGTCTTCATAGCCGATCTCGTCCAGCCGCTCCTCCTCCTCCCGCTTAACAGGTTCACCCTCACAATGGATGACGGTGTCCGGTGCCACGATGCAAAATTCCCCGGGGTCCACTCCCACAACCTGCGATGGAGCGCAAGCACTTCGGTCTTGATTAAGCCGCATCAGCCACTACCCACAACTCCAATGCAAACGAAAGATGCACGTCGCTCAAACACTGCAGCGTCCACTGGCGAAGCTTTGCGACAAAACCAGTGCAAAACCAGTGCACGTAATCACGCAACTACGACATACAGCTCAACCCCAAACGACCGGTCCCTCCGAGCTCCCCTACACCTCCTCGCAAGTTCTTCCTATCCCTCTCCGCGCAATACCCAACTTCCCTTCATGACCAAGTGGGCCGTGATGCTCAAACACTACGTAGGCGATTACTTACTTAAGAGACATAGACGCACAGCGCCACATTCACAACTGCAAGCCTACGCAACCACCAGTTGGCATGCGTGCCGTCTCCGTACCTTGAACTCAACAGGTCTGAAGCCACCGCGCACAAGGAATAGGTCGTTCTTGCGCACGGGCCTGTAGGCCTCCATGAAGTACGGCTTGAGGTAAATCTCAAATAAATTGCCTGCAAATAACCTCCCGGTGCGCACCTAGCCGGACACCTGGTTCAGAATGCATGGAGTCGTCATGCACGCTTGTATGCACGTGTAGGAGCAAAGTGATCACTAACCACGCAAAGTGGGATGCCCACCCGTTATGCCCTCGATCGTATCGTCAAGTGGCAAGACGTGTATCCGCTTCCCATACGGACAATCCGCGCATGCGCTGACATGGACAATATCTGCATCACAACGCACAGAAGCCAAGAGGAGCAAACTAAGCAGCATGCATGGCCATGTGGAAGGGGAGTGACGCCTCTGCACCACGGTCGCAGACCGAACAACAGAAAACAATAGTGTGGGGTGAGGCCTAGATACACCGCACCTCCCAGTCGAACGCGCAGGTTTTTCCTGACGACTTTGTTAAGTCTGATCTTTCCTTCGTCAAGATCCTGATCGGCCAGGACGACGCACACCGTGTCATGCCGCATCTTGCCACGAAGCAGCACCGTGTCACCCCTGAATATCTGCAGGGTTTCCATACGTGAGGGGTTCAAAGCAACCACCGAGTTGTCGTCATTGATAGCCTCCTCCACCACAAGCCTGTTGGGGGAGCGCTTCTTCTTGGGAGGCTGGTTTGCGCCTGCATTAGCATCTGCTTTCTTGTTGCTTGCAGCAGCAGCGGGGGCACCGCCTGCACTCCCAGCTGCAGGGCCTCCGCTGCTGGGTGTTTCCTCAGTCATTATGCACAGGGATTCCTCTTAGCTGGTGCTGATGAGATAGTCAGCCCTTGTGATGTCCAACTGCGGCGCCCGTAGCTGTCTTGAAGGTCGCTCCGTTCGTGAACGCCACGGTGTTGAAGTGTGGGCAAGGGAAGGGATCCAGTGGGGGGCGGAGCCTTCCCACGGCAACACAACTCCCTTTCAGGAGCTCTTAAATATCCGCCTTTGACGCGCAAGTCGAGAAAGGCGCTGCGCAGCCTGTTGGACTACGCACCGCCAGTCGATCAGAAAGGAACAGGGGCCGCTCGAGACGGCAGTCTGATGGCGCCGTCAAACTGAGCGTCTGGTCTTTTCTGAGCGTCGCTAACGTGTGTTCTCCTTAGGTATTATCGCAATAAATGGGGTAGATAAACAGAAAAGTCGCAGGAACAATCCTTGCCCCTGCAGACCTCCGCTGCAGTCCGCGGCGGCGGCGCGCAGCAGCACGCTAGAGCGTTTGTTCGTTCTCCCAGAAGCAGTAGCCTGTGGTTGCCCCAGCAAGGCTTAGCTGTGTTATGAAAGCACAACCCGAGTCATGGTTTACTCACTCGTAGGGAAGTTAAAGAGAGTGGTGCCCAAGCGCCTCTGCTCAACATCATACTCTGCACAATGGTGGGAGGTGTGTACGCCGCACGTGGGTAGCTCGGTGTTGCGTTTAGAGGGACAAATGATCTTTCTACGTACAGGTCTTGACGTGTTCGAAGAACCTAATAAAAAATAAAAGCAGTAGAGGAAGTGTACGCAGCATATCAACCGCTGCATGTTAAGTCTTCACCACAAGTGTGGTACTGCAGTGCTCCGTGATAACGCCTTAACAGCTAATACATGCCTGGCTGCTGCAGACTGTTTCTCATTTCTACGAAAAGACGCCCACAGCTTTGAGTGTAGGTTTCCATACTCCTCCCACTGACACGGTAGCTGGCTGAGTTTAGCAAGCCCAGCGCGGCATTGCTTCATGTGAATACCCACCCGCAGGATGGCTAGTGAGCGTCGAAAAAGTGTTCAACAATTACCTGCCATATACGTCCATGCGCCTAATGCACTCGTGAATATGCATGCGTGTGGGATTGCTTTGAAGCAAGAGGTGCAGCAGGGAGTGCTGCCACTCATGAAGGGCCACCTCCGCTCCTCATGAGCCGCAGGCTTTTCTACCATTGACCTCAGGAACCTATGAGGCTGAATGGGAGGTCATCTGGTTTGGGGGGACTCTTTTTACTCTTCTGACCGTATTGTAGCTCACGAAGGTCCTCGGCTAAGCTCCAAAACGCTCGTTACAGTTGGTAGTGCTGGATGCCTGGGCAGGGCATTCGTTCCCACGCTTTAGCTCACTGCCGCAGATTGAGAAGGGGGAGCTGGAGAATCGCTCCGCAGATGCAGTCTTCCAAAGCTTACCTTAGTTGTCGACCTCCTGGCGATTGGCGTGATATTCTGCTTTTGTTATGAGCTCTGAGTTTCGTTGGCAGCGTGCCCACGATTGAACTGCCCTCCAGTTGCTCCATGATGCAATGAAGTTGCAGCCATTTTGGGGGGACCGTTCGACGAAACTCCGGTGATTCCCTGAAATGCCTCAGAGGACTGAAATTAATGGTGCGTTGGCATGTCCATGATGGGGATAAGTGGACGATGTGTGCCAGCGCGATTACGCAACCAGGACAGCAAGGGCTCCTGTGGTGAAATGTTAATACAATAACAACTTCGATAGCAAGGATCGTTTCCTGCAGTATGTAGGTTTGCCTGGTCTCAACGGGGTGCCGTGGAACTCATGGCAGGCTGACGCCTTTCGCCAAACCCCGGCCCTAGGGTTGGTGTGCCCAGGACACCTGGAATGGAGTTGCTTTTCAAAAATTCTTGCCTAAAATATTCTGGCTCTAAAGCCGCTCACAATGGCCCTGGGATAAGACCGAGAACTCTCGGTACAACGGGGGACGGGGCAAGTTACCTTCAAGGGACTCTTCCTAGCAGTTTGGGCGTAGGGTTTGCCTTTCTTTGTTACTAAAGTGTGCAACTCAGGCGTTAGGTATTTCAGTATTTGCAATCTGTGGCTTGGAGACACGAGTTACTAGCCAAGCCCAGATAGTTTGCATTGGGGGCAAGGGAGGTGCCCCAAAGTGGCTTGCTGGGGGAAGGTAGCAAGAAATCAGTAGGACATAAAGAACTCCTTTGTTCTGCTAGTTAGTCAATTACCTGCCCCCCCACCTAGCTAGCTCGCTACTGTATAAATGTGTTTATGCATTACATATTATAAAGGTCTTGAAACTCACTTCTGCCTTTGTGTCCGCTGTCGATGTCCCCTCATTGTTCTGTCTCCTTTTCTGTTTCTTCTCCAAGAAAGTGTTTCGAATCCTTCAGCAACAGATTTGTGGGGCCATCCGCCGTTTTAACACCCTGCTTATCAACAAGCTAGCTACCCAAATAGCTAGCTAGCTGCATGCACATTGTGAATGACTAGCTTGCCGGCTAGCTAGATAACCAACTGTCTAGTTAACCAACCACGTGACTGGGTGTATACGGACTTCTCTACCTACTAAGCAAATCAGCTGGTGAGAAGGGGAATGCCCATTCCTGAGCAGCCTGCCCTTTCGCCACCGGGCGCTAGTTACCCACATAGCTAGCTAGCCAATTAATTCGTCAAGTACCTGGCAGTTCCCTTTTGTTTTGCCACGATTTTACAGAAGGGCTTGAAGGCGGCGCAGATGCACCACTTCCCCACATTTTCCGCGCCAGCACTGGACTGCCCCCAAAAGCGCTGGCACATAAACTTTACCTTTGCTTAGCAGTTTTCCTGCCGGCATTCCTATACCCTCTCCAAGGAGTGAGCATCGCCCATCTGCTGGAACAAAGCTCGTAGATGGCCCATTAAGGAGTTCGATGCGGTGCATTTGGCGTCCACCGTGTGGGCGGCTCGATGGTGCTTCCGTGAGATTTGATGTGCCTGGGGACTCTTTCTTCAACTGTGCCCTTTTCTTCTGTTCCTCACGTGAAAACTGAACGGAATAACCCGAAATTGAGGTCTTGCGACCACCATGAAGGAGTGTATGCATATGACCGTCATTC